GTTTTTCCTTTCTCACTTTGTACCCAAATAGAGGATTATTATTCCAATTTTTGAGTCAGGTCCTGTCAGGTCAGTTATTTTTTTAATTTTTTTTAACCTAACACTTTGCAAATAACCAAACCTTTTTGTTTTTTACTCTACGTCTTTCCTTCTTTTTATAGATGATCATTAGGTATTCCAATTTTTGAGTCAGGTCAATTTATCGCAGTTTGACACTTCTGTTTGAAAAACAAGTCGATCAAGTCGTTTTAGTCCGTCTAGTGTCAAAATGCCAATCGAGCCCAAAAACCGCTTCAGACACGACTGCGACCTCCACAAAGAGTACCAGAATTTGCAAGTACACTCCCCGTTTGAGCCCCGATGGAAAAGATACCTCTATTCGATTCGGCTCCAACTCAGTGTTTGCAAGAACAAGCAATCAAAACTCTACTTCAGAAGCATGTCATCGTTGACCCACGAACGCAATAGACACTTCTACACCCCACGATACAAGTATATCATCCACCCTTTCAGCAGTTTCAATCGGGCGAAGGAGATGCTCCTCTCGGTATTGCTATACTTCTTGTTCTTCTTCGAGTCGTTCTTGGGGAGCTTCCTGGGGGAGGAGTTCCACGCCAGGGCCACTCGAATGGTCTCCAGTAAAGTACTATTTGCAATCAATGCCCTCCTTCTCCTAGATATTGTTCTACGGTTTTTTATCGGGGTTGTAAACGAGAAAACACGAGAGGTTATCTTGGAGAAGAAAATCATCGCAAAAGTCTATATCCGGAGCTATTTCTTGTTCGATATTTTACCAATTGTGGGTTTTCTAGTCTTCTATTTTGTTCCAATCAAGAGATTTGACCTAAAAATTGTGATTTATGAGTTCCACAAGTTTCGGTTAGTGCGAATGAGGAGTGTGGTTGCTAACGCGTTAACAATTTTGCGAAAATTCAAGTTGCAAGAGTCGTCTCAAACCATCATTGTTATCATTATCATAGTTTTGGTGACTTTGCACGAATGGTCGTGTATTTTGAGTCTGATTTATATGTTTCGGAAGTTGTATCATTTATCAAATCGTGATACTTTTGTTTATCAATATTATCAGAGGACGACTCGACTTGACCAAATTACGGTAACTCATTCTTTGGCCGATCGTACGAATTACTCCTTTCGTGTGTACCTCTTGTACTTGTCAATTGTTGCTTGTCATTTCTTCGGTTGTGGTACTTCGATCTACAAGACAAAACGCAGTGCTGAGATGATTGTACTGTCTTTTGTCACTATGAACGGCATGATGTTCTACATAGGAATGGTGGCTAAAGTTTTGCAAATGTTTGGAGTTGCCAACATTGCTGAGAACCGCTACGAAGAACTCAATTGGCAGGTGAAGCAATACATGACGAAGAAAAAATTTCCTGGTGCCCTCAAACGCCGTATTGTCCTATATTATGACTACAAGTACGGAAATAAGTTCTTTTCCGAACAGGAGATTCTTGATTCCCTCACGGAGCGTCTCCGGATGGAAGTTCTTCTTTACAGTTGCCGGAATCTCATCACCGAAGTGAAAATCTTCAAAGGACTATCTAAATCTGCAGTTGGGTGTATTTTAGCCTTGCTCAAACAGGAGATTTACCTCCCGGGAGAGATGATAATGAGTGCTGAAGAGGAGTCCGACTCGATTTACTTTATCCTCTATGGGACTTGTATGATTCAGGTGATTGGAGGGAAGGAATTGTGGCATATTGAGGATGGGACGGAGTTTGGGGATGCAAGTCGGTTTTGTAATGAGGAACAAATCGGGTTTTTGTACCAGATTGTGGCCCTAGAAGCGACCGAAGTGTTTGAATTGCAAGTCAACGATTTGGCATATTGTTGTACGATGTATCCCGAAATTACGTTCAAATTGGAGGCGATGGCGAGGAATAAAGCGAGGGTTTATAATCAGACGTATGCGAGGAGGACACAAGAGACTGATTATGTGGGGGAGATTTTAGACGAACTAGGAAAAGGGAATATTTTGCATTATGGAATTAAAAGAGATGATTTTGACTGATTTGTGTTGCCAATAAAATGTATTTTAATGGTATGTCTATTATGCCCCCACCTTCCCCCAATCACAAAAAACTTTTTTTTTAACTAATTGTATGTACAAAATACAACGTTTTGTGTTAAAAAAGTGTTTCAACGACTTTTAAGTTACATTATGATCAAATTTGAATAATTGTGAGCCTTGTCTGCGTTGATTGACAGTAATAAAATAAAAAGTCTGTCTAATGTCAAAAAATGGCCGTTGGGGAGTGACGAGTCCGCGCCAATGGAATCTGTATACTATGGTTTGAAACCGTATGAGTTGTATAATAATTTATTTGTTGATTGTCATTTTTTCTAAGAACTAGACCAAAAACATAAAAAATATAATATTTTATAAGCAAGCTTAATTTTATTTATTAAAAAAATAAAGATTTACATTTGGGTTAGATGGTGATTTTTAATTTTTACAAATTTACAAGAACATTAAAATTACTCTTTATTATTTCTTCAAAACTTCAAATAAAAAACACAAGGATTAATTTTATTCTCTATTATTTAGTTTGTTTTCTATCATTCTCTATCGTTTTTTTGCTTTGAGAAAACTTCTTAAGAATTTCCCTTATATCTGTTTAAAGTTGTTTTGGATGGAGCTTTTAAAAACTGACTTCTTTTCGTAAATTCACCTTTTGGAGAAATGTACAGTTGCGGAATACATTACATTACATACTACATTAATAACCTAATTTTTTACTCTGGCCATTTTTATGTCATTTTGACTTATTTACTTTCAAAAATTGTGATTTGTGGCATAATAAAGGATAGGCAGCAGATCAAAGCGATGATTTAATCACACTTAGTTCAATTAACAAATTTCCTAAGACACACAATTTGTTTAATTAACAATTTTAACAACAAAAAAAAATATTTTAATAGTCAAATGTCAATCATGATGACAGTAAAAGGTAGTTTACAATAAACTTTTTAAAGTTATAGAAAAATAATGCCCGAAATTTTAATTCCGCAGTTGTACCTCCAGGCAATACCATTACGAACTGTAACTTCAGACCATCTTGGGGTTTTATTGAAATAATTATAAATTTGGTCAAATAAAAACACAGCAGTTGGTTCTAAGTCTTTTGCATCTGAGTCAATTTTCACTACACAATCTTGAACTGTCAATTTTTTCCTGCATTTTTTAACGGTGTGTCTATTATGCCCCACCTTCCCCTGATTAGAATAAAACCATTTTTAACAAATTATAGAAAACACAACGTTTTGTTTGTAAAAAGTGTTTCAACGTCTTTTAAGTTACATTATGATCAAATTTAAATAATTATGAAAGTTGCCTGCGTTGATTGACAGTAAGAAAAGTCCATCTAATGTCAAAAAATGGCCGTTGGGGAGTGACGAGTCCGCGCTCCAATGGAATCTGTATATTTTGGTTTGAAACCTTGATCAATTTTTTGTGTTTGAGTTGTATAATTTTCTTGTTGATTGTCATTTTTTCTAAAAACTAGACCAAAAACATTAAAAATTATAACATTTTATAAGCAAATATAACTTTATTTATTAAAAAAATTAAAGATTTACATTTGGTTAAGATAGTTATTTTTAATCTTTACAAATTTACAAGAAAATTAAAATTACAATAACTCTTTATTATTTCTTCAACACTTCAAATAAAAAACACAAGGATTAATTTTATTCTCTTTTATTTAGTTTGTTCTCTATTATTCTCTATTATTTTTTTGCTTTAAGAAAACTTCTTAAAAATTCCTCGTATATCTGACTTCTTGTTGTAAATTCATAATCTTTTGGAGAAATGTACAGTTACGGAATTAAAATTTCGGGCAGTGTTTTTCTATCACTTTAAAAAGTTCACTGTAAACTACATTTGAGTGCAAAAAAAACGTAAATTTTTTGTACAGTTACGGAATTAAAATGTCGGGCAGTATTTTTCTATCACTCTAAAAAGTTCACTATAAACTACAATTGAGTGCAAAAAAAACCGCAAATTGATTTTTTTTTGTAATGTAATTAGGTCTGTTAACAAATGCCATTTTTTGACGTTGTCTTTGTCACAATTCATAATTTCATAATTGTCAGGCATCTTCCGAACTTCTGTCAAGTTTTTCCATGTTTTTCATTACATTTTTTTTAACACTGACTATGGCAATAACACCAAATACGTCATTTCTTTTGATATTTTGCTAACCTTTTTGGGAACAACCTTTTTCACACAATGTAAATTTCTGAAAAATTTGTAAATATTGTTTTTGATAATTTGCGTTTTTTTTTACTGACATCATAACATTCATGAGTGACATTTGACAAATAAACTTTTCTGTCAGTGACGCTATTTTTTAAGTCAAAATGACATAAACATGACAAGAATAAAAAATGAGGTTATTAATGTAAAGGTTTTTTAGAGTTGTTGTGAAAATTGTGAAAATGACAATACTGTCCGAAATTTTAATTCCGCAACTGTACTTCCAACGACGAACTGTAACTTCAGACCATCTTGGGGTTTTTATAAATTTAATCAAGTAAAAACACAGCCGTTGGTTCTAAGTTCTCAATTTTCACTACACAATCTTGACCTGTAATAGTCAATTTTTTCCTGCATTTTTTAACGGTGTGTCTACTATGCCCCACCTTCCCCTAATTGCAATAAAACCATTTTTACAAATTGAACAAAACGCAATGTTTTGTTTGTAAAAAGCGTTTCAACGTGTTTTAAGCTACATTTTCATCAAATTTGGGTTTTTTGAAATTGAAAATAGTGAGGTTTCAAACCAAATCTTGACATTTGTTTGACGTCAGCGTCCACGCATGCGCACTTAAAAATTTAACTTGCGCCATTTTGTGATCGTTGTGTTAACGTTGAGTGTCACAAACTCTGAAAAATGGGTTCTGCGAAGGCAGAATCGGGGCAAAACAACGTGAAAAATCCAGTAAAACCCTACGGCAAAGTAATTTTAACGTTGAAGAATAAATTATTGCCTGAAGAGAAGCTGTCTCCGACGCCAAGTCAGAACGATGGTCTCGACATTGAAACCGAGACGGATTTACGCATTTACGGTTGTGAATTGATTCAAACGGCTGGAATTCTGCTGAAATTACCTCAGGTGTGTCTAAAGTTTCATTTTATATTGATTTAGTCGGTTTTGGGGCTTGTTGTTAACATTTTTTGGCCGATGTTTACAGGTAGCGATGGCTACTGGACAAGTCCTTTTGCAACGTTTTTATTATTCGAAGAGTTTAGTGCGTCATCCGGTCGATCACACGGCGATGGCTTGCGTTTGTTTAGCTTCCAAGATTGAAGAAGCCCCCCGAAGGGTTCGAGACGTTATCAACGTCTTTACTCACATACGACAAGTGAATTCCAACAAGTAAGTTTCAAGTTGATTGTTTTGTTAACCACAATATGACACTGTTCTCATCAATACGAAGCATAATGGTTTTTTCCGTTCGGTCGCGTTGATCAGTTACAAAACGGGGGTCAGGTCCGGATTTATTATCCTGGATTTTTTTAGGATTGCAAGAACGAGAACTGGGAAATTGGGCTGTGGTGTGCCTTGATACTATCTCACATGTTGCAGGATGGAACAGGTGTGGTGTCTCAATGCCCATCATGGCGCAATTTTCATATGAAGACTCACTAAATTGATAGTTGGGGATACTGTAAAGAATTGGACTCAGCAGGTTGGGTTTTTATTCTATTTTTTAGTAACACATTCATTGATAAATCGTTCACAATATGTATAAATTTGATCAGAGTGGCTTATGACCGACATTTGTTGGCTTACCAACCGGAAAAGTCTAAAATTACTGTTAGGGATTTTTGCGCAACAACATACCGGGTGGGGCATCCGTTACGCCCAAAAAGAAAATCTCCACTTCTAATTAAATAAAATTGTTGAATTTTTTCACACTTACCTGGGCATTAGTAAGGTACATTCTCTAATTTTTTGGTATTTTTTCATTCACAAACAAAGCCAAAAAAAAATAAATAATTTTCTCCCAAAAAATTTAATTCTAATTTTTATACTGACCTACGCAGATTCACTTCCTACAATTTTTTACAAAATCAGAGAAAAAAATTCCAATTAGATTTTGAATTAAACGCAATTTCCCTACTACTTGTGCCATCGTAAATTTAGGTGACAATGGGGAACTGCAGTTTGGGTAAGATTCCAAGGTTTACAACAAAAAGACCCTTTAAAGCGGTCGGCTACCAGTAAATGATTCTTTTGTTGGCAAATTATACCATTTTGTCATAAATCACAGGTCTGGTTTGTGTTTAAATAAAAAAGCGATTATTTGGCTAACCAAGTCAAAATTTGAAATTGTGATATCAAAGTTTGATTTGCTGACAGGTACAGATTCATTTAGTGTAAAAACTTTATAGGTAAATTAACAGAAAGTATTCATAAAACACACAAAACTGTTACGGACTCATTTATGATCCAAAAAAATTAGAAAAACTCAAATTATACCCTATCAATAATTAGTTAGGTATATGAAATATCGCCAGTTTTAATTAATTTGAAGTCGCGATTTATCAAGTACGCGTAACCGATGCCCTACCCGGTACATTCGAACAAAGTGAAAATGACGCCTCAATAAACCCTTCTGGGTCGTAAATTATCGCATTACAAATTTGACGTAGTTTCAAGATAAATTTCTTTAGGAGCCGGTTTACAGAAAGCGAAATAATAGTAATAATAATAAAGCTCTTTATTTAAAAAAAAAGTAATACAAAGATGCGGAGGCGAAGTCTAGCTTGAAGCTATTCAACTTAACCTCAAAAGAAAATTGATAAAAAAAAACAATTATAACATAAAAATAAAAATAATTATAATAAACAATATAAAATTTAAATAAAAATAAATTCGGAAGTTACTAATAACTAAAAGTAAAGAAAGAAAACATTGCCAGTCTCTCAAAAACAAAAAGAAAACACAAGAAAGAATTCTTTAAGAAGAAATTAAAAAAAAAATTGAACAGAAATAAATTCTTTTGCATTTGTTTTTAACGTCAATTATCCAACTCAGTTGAACAAAGTTGATTATTCAAAAACAAGTTCTTAATTCGACTCTTGAACGTAAACACTGAATTTCCAGAATTAAAGATTTCGATGTATTTGTTATATGTTCTAATTACGTTATAAGTGAATGATCTTTGATACAATGCGGTACGAAACTGTGGCATCGATAATAAAAATTTATTTCACAATTATTTAACTAATTAACTAAAGTTGCCATTTATTTTGCATTGACAAACGTCAAGTTAAATGAAAAGGTAATTTTATTAATGAAAAATTTAACAAACCATTTTTTGAAAAAAATGATGCATTAATGATGACATTGACTAAAAAACAAGCATTATTAATTTAATATTTTTTTTTAAATGTTTTCCAAAATAAAATTATTTTATAAATCATTTATTAAAATATTATTGCTTTACATAAAATCAAGTTTAAAATAGAGAAAGCCTATTTCGTATAAAAATTATGTTACTTAATTTAATTTTGGAAATCGAAAATATTATATTTTTCACTTTTTTTTAAGCGTTTAAGAAAGTTCTTCAGCCAGCAATGCAAATTTTTTTGCAAAATTTTGTCCGAACCAGTTGAAAAATCGATAAAAATTGTTCTATTTTTGCTTTCTTAAGCAGTTAAATACATTTTTGAACTTAAAACTTTTTTTTTTCGCAAAATAGGCCACAAAATCACTAAACTATATTCAAATTATCGCTCTCTTTTGGTCTGTTTCACTGGATTTAGTTTGGTGACCTAAAAACCTACTTTTTTTCAAAAAATTTCATTCACAACCAAGAAACCACCAAGTTAGTGCACCTTTTAAAGCATTAACATGTTTTTGGGTTAAAAACTGTTTTTTTTTTTTGCAAAATTTTAGGAAAAAAATGACCAAATAACATTATTTTTGACTTTTTTTAGTTAAAAATGCACTTTTTTGCGACATTTTGCTCATGCAAGTCGTGAGATCTTCTAATTAAATATAATGGTGTAATGGTGTTTATGGTGAGTAAAAATCTTAATTGCATAACATGCCCAAAAATTAATTAGGCAAAAAATTATTTATGTCCGTGTATTTTCAAGCGAATAAAAACGTTTTCGGGTCAAAACTGATTTTTTTCACAAAATTTTGCTAAAATAGCTAAATTAGGGGTCGAAAACGACATTGTTTTTGTCTTTTTCAAGTAAAAATTTTACCCAAATGGGCCAAAAAATTAGCAAATTAAGTTGAAAATGGTATATTTTTTTAAACTGTGGGTTAGGATAAATAGTACTCTAACTATTTTGGCTGAAATTTCTTGCCATTTTCAACAATAAAATTCTAAATTCCATAGTTTTTTACAAAAACAGGTCTTTCAAAAAATTTTTTGAGACATATTTATAGGACACTTTTGTCTTAAAATTGAATATTCTTCTACCTTTTAAATTTGTAACAATAAAAACGGTTATTCTACAGGATATCGTACAAAAATTATGTTAATTAGTTTTATCTTGAAAAAACAGTTAAAAAAATTATTATGTCAATAATGATGTGTTTATATTTTATATTATTTTATATTTTTCTTTAAGAAATGGTTTGTTACATTTTTCATTAAAAAATTCAACATTTTCATTTAATTAATTTGATGTTTGTCAATTCAAAATAAATGGCAACTTAATTCGAATTAGTTTAATTCTGAATTAAATTTTCATTTCGCTTTCTGTGAACCTGGTCCTAAAGGAATTTATCTTAAAACTACGTCAAGTTTGCAATGCAAACAGCAGGGGCTGGTTTATTGCGGCGTCATTTTCACTTTGTTCGACTGTACATGACGTCATAGTTACCAATTTGGAAAAAAGAGATAATTTGGTTAGAGGTCAAGGCCCAACCTGCTTAATTTTTTGTTTTGGTTTAGATTCAGTTTTTTTCACCTGTTAATTTTTGCCATATCACCGGAAGCCTTCTTAACTAACTCAAAATAAAACCGTTGTACCCCGATAAAAAGCTTGTAGACTGTAGTGGTACTTGAAGGTAAATATTAATTATAAAAGTGTTGTTTATTTTTTCTATTCTAACATATCACTTGCTGATTGTGAAGATTTTTCTTTTTGGGGCGATCGTTTCTGATCAATTTGTGTCAGAAACGAGCGCTTAGTATTAAAAAAAAAGTTTACTCGGTTGCTACTGTTAGAAACCGGACAAAAGAGATACTCAATATGTTGTTGTTAATTTACAGAGGCTACAAATGGCTCCAATAGGGCCTCTGTCCCCCATAATCTTCATGGCGCTGAGTGGGATCCTTAATACCACACAGACATGAATCTGCTAGAAATGCACAGACAGACACAGACACGGCCGTCCATGATTGTTGTGTGACGGTCTACGGAAAGGCAATGCATGTGTTCAATATTTATTGGATTTAAAATGGCCGACCAGGTGTGTTGTACATTTTTGTTTTATTAGGTTGGTACGAATCCAAAAAGTCTTGAACCATGCATTGTACGACGAGTCGAGGTAAATGAAGATTAAAAAGAAGAAGGAAGATTTTGAGAGCGATTTTTTGCTCGAAGTAAATAACGACTATAGTACTAATTTGTGAGGTTATGTTTTATTGTAGGTCACCAGACTTGTGATTGATTCTTAATTATTTTATTGGGTCAACGTGCAAATCAGGTAATAGCGGTGGCACAAAATGGTCGATCTAGTTTAATAAAAAAAAAACATATTGCTTCGTATTGGTGTTGAATGTTTGAATGTAATTTGGAGGATAATAAACAAATTAAACTCGATGACCATTTTGCCATTTGAATAAATTTTTAATGTAGTATTTTTCGTTTTATTTGTTTATTTTTCGCTCCGAATTACACTTCTCCAATCGTATCCGGAGAATTGTAATTGACGGTTTTCAAACTTGTATTTTTTCTTTTCTTGACTATGTGCAGAACTATACAACCTGTGATACTGGACGTAAACTATATCCAGTTGAAAAATCTCGTTATCAAAGCGGAACGGAGGGTTTTGAAGGAGCTCGGCTTCTGCGTCCACATCAAACACCCCCATAAAGTAAGTCGATGAGTTAAAATGGCGTCGGTAATGGCGTCCAGTGACTACAACGCCCTCTATTTCAGATAATCGTCATGTATTTACAAGTTCTCGGCTACGAGAAAAACCAAAAACTAATGCAATATTCATGGAATTACATGAACGACTCGTTGCGCACCGACGTTTTTGTACGTTACCAACCGGAAACAGTGGCGTGCGCTTGTATATACCTAACGGCGCGTAAATTACAATTGCCTTTACCGAAAAACCCGTCCTGGTATTCGATTTTTGGCGCCACGGAAGCGGAAGTCAGAGATATAGCGATTAGGATATTAAAATTGTATAATAGACCAAAGGTAGCTAGTGTTATTTTGATTTTATCGTTTAATGATTGATTTTTTTAGCCAAACATCGAGCAACTTGAGAGAAAAGTCGAAGAATTGTGTAAACAGTATCACGATGCGAGGGTTAAAGCTCGGGGGAATTCCGGAAACAACACCCCTAATAATGATTCGTCCAGTCCGAATACGCAGAAGACGGCTGGGGCGCATAATGCGTGGGGTGGTTTTATAAGTCGGTCGGGGAGTCACATAGCGCCGCCCGTTTCGGAGAAAAGGTCAAGGTCGAGGTCGGCAAGTCATAGTCCGGTTAGTAAACATAATCACAAGAGGTCGAAGAAACACAGATCGAGGAGTCGTTCACCGTCGAGGAATCATAAGAAGAATCACAAAAGGAGGAGTTACTCGAGGTCGAGGAGTAATTCGCCGCATAAAACGTCAAGGAAGGGGAGGTTTGTGCTTATTGAAGTGGGGGGGAAAAAGATTAATTGAATGTTTTAGGGAGAAGAGGAGGTCAACGTCGCCTGTCAATGATAAAAATGACCGGTATATAGATAGGTATGACAAATATGATAAGTACGAGAAGGAGAGGTATAGTGGGAAAGAAGAAAGAGAAAGGGAGAGGGAGAGGTACGATGAGAAGAAGGAACGACATGACAAGAGAGACGACAAATATAAAGATAAAGAAGACAAATATCGGGAAGATAGAGACAAGTATAAGAAATCTAAACATGAGAAAGATATAAGGGAGAGGTCGAAGGATCGGCGGAGATAAAAACTTAATTTAAGAATTACTAGTGATTAATGTTTTTAAGTCAGATTGTATTAATTGCAATTTTACCGTTAGATACGAATTGATTTTAAGTACCGGATTTTGTTCTTGTATGTGTACAAATTTTCTTAAATCAAGGACAAATAGATGGATATTTTTTATATATTTTTAATGTTACTTTTTTGTACAAGTTTGTTAAAATATCCTTCTGTATCCCTAAGTAGGTCCTCGGGACGTCCAAACTCCACCACTGATCCTGCCTCCATTACCAGAATCTTGTCCGAGTCGAGAACACTTTTGAGCCGATGTGCTATTGTTAGTACTGTACACCCTTCAAATTTCCTTCGAATAGTGGACTGGATCATCTCGTCCGTTTTCGAGTCAACATTAGAAGTGGCTTCATCCAGAACGATAATTTTGGCCTTCCTGAGTATTGTTCTAACAAGACACAAGAGTTGCCTTTCACCAACGCTGAAATTTGAACCACCTTCAGAAACAGGACTATCAAGACCAGTTTCAAGGAAGTGTTTCTTCAATTCGACTTCTTCTAAAGCATTCCAGAGCTCAGCATCTGAGAACTCAGCAAAAGGGTCCAAGTTTTTGCGAAGACTTCCGATAAAAATGACCGGTTCTTGGGGAATGATCGAGATTTTGGACCTCAAGATGTGCAAAGGCACCTTTTTGGTGTCAATGCCATCGATGGTGATGGTCCCTTCGAAATGAAACAAACGGAATAGTGCTGAGATTAATGACGACTTCCCAGCACCTGTTCTACCCACAATCCCGATTTTTTCACCAGATTTAATACTGAAACAAGTTTGGTTTAAAGCCAAGAAGTTGGTTGAGTATTGCATTGAAACGCAGTCGAAGACAATATTGCCTTTATCAGGCCAGGAGTTGTCCGGTATGAGAGTCCCTTCGTCCGGTTCGGGGGGAAGTCTCGAGTAGTCCATAACACGTTCAATAGAAGTCATGGTAGAGTCAATTTCGCTGCAGTCCTTCATAACCATTTGGATTGTCTCGCCGAACATTATGGACGTGGTGAAGGCCAAACCGATGACTCCCATATAATTCCCTACAGATTATTTATTATTATTTATTCATGTTTGAAAGTATCAATTGTTACCTGTGAAGAGAAAGAAACTAAAAATTGCCACTCCTGTGTATATGGTACAGGTCAAGTCGGCCCAAAACGCCAGAGTACAATATATGGCCTTGCTCGTGTAACATGCCGAAGTTTGGACGTCCAGTTTACTATTGAACTCTTGTAGTAAGACTTTATGGGCTTTTAAAGCATGGATGGTGGTTAGGCCTTGCAAGGTTGACGCCATGTGACTTATTACAGGACTTGTTACTAAAAAAACGCAAATTAGTACTCCAAGTTCTAAAATAAGTTACAATGTACCGATTCCTTCAGTTCGTCTCATATTTTTGTTTGCCGGTTGATGCAAATATATATATGTAAAAAGCAAAATATACAAAAATATCGATGGTATAACCATCCAGAAATTGAGTATCGAGATGATTATAGATATTCCAATGACCAAGAATATTTTTATTAGCAGTTCCAGGAGGAACAAAGGGATGACTTCTTCGGCCGAACCTAAATCAGTCGAGTAACGATTGAGGATACGTCCCGAGGAGTTATCATTAAAAAATTTGATAGGACTGTTGATAACACCTTGATAGAACACATCGTGGAGGAATTTTGATATGCTGACTGTGTATTTGACGAAAAACCAAGTCGCTACATGAGTCCCAAAAACAAGAAGTAGTACTAAAAATCCATAAATATATAACTTGTCATTTGTATCAATATCAATTTTTGAGTTAATCCAAAACGTTATAAAAATATCAATCAAATATCCAATGAGGGTATTGAGTGCGAATAGGAGGAACACTGCTAAAGTTATAGTGACACCAGTGGCGTTGAGGAAATAGTCACGATACACTTTAGTCGCACTTCCGGTTCCTCTTTCTTCTTTGACAGCTGTGGGGACTTGAAACTCCCCCAAAATCACACTTTTCGTATCATTTTTATCCCCACTTGACTTATCTTCAAGGCCGATATCAAAACTCCCAGTTTTATCAATTCGGCCTTTGTCTAACTTATAAATCCTTGTTGTATTTTTCAAATATTGCACCTGATGTGTCACCAAAACTACACATTTCCCTCCCAAATATCTCACGATACACTCGTCAAAAATATGCCTTGCCACATGCGTATCAACAGCGGACAAGGGATCATCAAGGAGATAAATATCAGCGTTTTTGTACACAGCCCGGGCTAAATTAATCCTCGCTTTTTGGCCCCCACTCAACATCGTTCCTCTTTCCCCAACCAGAGTATTATCCCCAAATGGGAGTTGTGTCAAATCATACTCCAATGCGCAAACTTTGACAACTTGCGAGTACTTCCCTGCGTTAAACTCCTCACGGAATAGAATATTTTGCCTCACACTTGCGGAAAAAATCCACGGTTCTTGTGAGGCATAAGAAATTGTGCCCTCAACTTCAATTATGCCTTTGACTGGACTAACTTCCGATAAAATGGCGTGTAGGAGAGTAGTTTTGCCGCTTCCGGCACTCCCAATCACTCCAATCAAATCACCGGGAGAGGCATTAAATGTGATATTGTGGAGGAGAGTCGCACCGTTGAGCTGGAACCAGGCATTACGGATGCAAATTGTGGGCATTTTCGGTTTGAGGAATTTGATATTGAGGCCGTGGATTATGCCCCGAGGACCGGGATTGTGACAATCAACAAGTAGCACGTTTTGGATTCGTTCAATCGTAACTTTGCTTTCTGTGGTTCTAATCAAGGCGAAAGGGAGTCGAGTCGTGGCTGTGGTCTTCAAATTTTCGTAGATTGTCATCAGGGCATAAACGTTTTGAGGAGTCAAGGGCATGTTATTAACGATACTTGCAAGAATGCAGAGGAAAACTGAGATTTTTGATACGTAGACTTTAAAAACAGCGCAAAGAAACCGGAGGTGATTGGCGGTGGTAAGCTTGTCGGTTTCTGATCTAGAATTGATATGGAAACTCGTGATTGATATTTGATAATACTTACTTTCGGACGTCGGTGATATACTTGGAGAAGGACTCCTCCCAAGTACACATTTTGATAATTTGAATCCCTCGAATGATATCATTGAAAAGTCGAATCCTTTGGTCGGTTTGCGGCGCCAATTTTTGCTTGACTTGTGAGAGCTTTCTGGTAATGAGTACTAAACCAATGTGATATTTTTGATAATGATTTGTACTCACATTGGGCAATAACAAAAACTAGGATTCCCAAAATACCAAACGTGGCGTTGTACCCAAAACTGATATTTAAGTAGATTGTAGCCAAGAGTATTTTCAAAGGGGCACTCCATAAACAGTGCAAAGTTGGTAGTACTAAATCAATCCGGTGTATATCATTTGATAATAAATTGATAATTTGGCCCGAGGTCAAATCCTGGAGACTCTCTTTTCGCAAAGTTAGAATTTTCTTGTAGACTAGGGAACTACAAGCGACTCGGACTTTTAAACCAAGACTGTATAACCCCAAATAGGTAAAATGGAAAGATGTCAGGTATGCCAGTGAAGCTAGTATTAGAACAAGGACATAGCAATATGCCTGGGTTTGGGGGACGTTTTCCCGGTTTGAGTCAAAATAATTTAGAAGTTTTTTTAGCAGAATTGGTTGTAATAACCTGAAAGAGTAGTTTTGGCTCGTTTTGATTAAAAAAGGTACTTACGTTAAGGCCATATCAAAAAGGAAGAGTAAAACACCATAGATGAGAAACTCCACTCCGAAAGTCTTCATTAAAGCTTTAGCCAAGGACGGTTTTTTGCGTGTTTTCTCCTCATTCCAGTGTTTTTCTAATTTTTCGCTCAACTTGTGAGATTGTTGACTTTTCAGTGGTTCATAGAGGTCGTCTTCTGTGAGTTCTTTTTTGCGTCCTTTAAGTATTATACCAATTTGCCAACTACAAATCTACATTTCGTGTACATATTTTTGGAGAATAATTACCAACCAGAAGAGAAGATTTGATAAAAAGTTGGATTTTTCCTCCGGGTGAATTCTTTTCTCCTTGCTTGGTAGGTCTTTAGCTTCCATTTTTATTCTAGTAGAAATTATAATTTCTCTGATAACAATAGCATGAATGATAAAAATATGACATTACCTGTTTTTTTAATATTGTATAATTGCTTTCGGAATAATAATAGTACTTACAGTTAAGCTAAGGTTAAGTAAAATTATCGAAACCGTTTTTTGATAATTGAGTACTGAGGGTAATTAAATTTTTTTGTGATTGATTTGAAAAAATAAATGCCAATATTTCAAGATAATTACCTATGAAACACCCAAACAATCAATCAATCAGAGGCTAAACAAACACAAATTTGTTGTTTTTTTATGTGTCTAATGTGTAATGTTTCGAATTTTGAAGAGAAACAACTAAAATGCTTTATTATCTTATCCTACCTATTTTTAAATTGTTACTGTTGGTAACTTTAGTTACTTACTTTTCGGCATTAATAAGTAATAAAATTATTGTCACTATACAGGGTGTTAAAAAAAGATTGTAAAGTATTTAAGGAGGTAATAGCATGGGCTAAAATAAACAAAAAAGTCTTATAAATACGGATCTGAAAAGTAACCCTTTCAGAGATATCGAATGTGAAATTTTTTATAATTTTCACTAGAAGCTTTTCTTTTTTGTTTGAACAGATTGCAAAATGTTTATTAAGATTTTTTTGTTTATTTTGGTTCATACTGTTATTTCCTGAAATATTTTACAATCTTTTTTTAGCACCCTGTAAATTTATTATACGCATAGTCTTATCTACCTACATATATCACGTTTCTTTATCACTTGAATTAGGGTTTTCGTGACTTGTTTTGAATTTGTATTTATTTTTATGTTTATTGTTATTTATGTATTTGTTACAGTGGTGCTTTCAACCTTGAATATGTAAATTTCCCTAGTCTATTAAAACTCTAATTTTTAATCTCTATTTTATATTTTTATTATACAGGCTGATTCTTTTAGGGCCTACATTAGAAACTTTTTAACTTCTAATCCCGATAGGAATTTCAAATTTTGTACACAACCCAAATCGACCAGTCTAAGTTTAGTTAAATTATTTTCAAAATGGCTGAACTTTCGAAACTACGAGAATTTGGCGCCAACTTTAAAATTTCAAATGGTAAGCATTTACTTTCATTGCATTTTTGAATTCTCTTCTCCAAACTGAGTAAAATGTACCCAGTTGTTAGTACTTATCTATCATAATTTTTGACAGTGTCAATTTTTTGGTCAAAATTTTTATTTGCAGGGGTTTATTTATTTTAAAATATCATATTGAACCCTCTGCGATAAGTGAATAATTTTTTTGCATTTGATAACCAAAGGTTTGAAGAGTTTTCAAAAATTTTCAAAATTGTCAACTGCCTAATTGCAAAGCTAATATGATTTTCATGATTTTCGTGATTATTTCAAAAACTGTAAGAGATACATTTCATTTGAAAAAACTGAGTTATAGCTGTTTGTTAATCATCAATTTCAAAAAATCACACTAGCCTTGCAATTTGACAGTTGACAATTATGAAAATTCTCAAAAAACTCTTTAAACCTTTGTTTATCGAATGCAAAAAAAATATTCACTTATCGCAAAGGGTTCAAGAGCTGTGATCTTTTGAATGTATCTCTGAAAATGAAAATTTTGACTAAAAAATTAACATATATCAAAAACTATGACAGATAAGTAAGCAAAAAGGTACACTTTACTCAGATTGAAGAGGAGAATTCTAAAATGCAATAAAAATAAGTGGTTACCATTTAAAATTTCAAAGTTGGCGCCAATTTCTTACAGTTCCGGAAGTTCAGCCATTTTGAAAATAATTCAGTTGAATTCAGACTGGTCGATTTGGGTTGTGTACAAAATTTCATATTTCTATCTGCATTAGAAGTTAAAAAGTTTCTAATGTAGGCCCTAAAAGAATCACCCTGTATAGTGTTTCCGGATAGGTGAAACGACTCTTGTAAAAGATAAAAAATTCTCGATTTAAATTTTTATTTTTTGGGGTTTATTGGTTAAAGACTAGATTTTAACAAAATTTTAGTTTTGAAAAACATGTAAGTATGGCTTAAAATTTTCAATTTTTATAACCCCTTTAAAAATATTAAAATTTTACTAATACACTTCGGATGTTTTTTAATTTTTTATTGATTGCATTGATGGAGTAACTCGAATTTTATTAAATTATTCTTAATTCGAGTAACGTTATACCATTATCATTATTACAACATTCAAGTTTATTTCCTCAAGTCGTAGAAAGAGGATTAATACAAAAATGGTCTTAAAAGCAGCACTAATTGGCTTAATTTGTTCCCAATTTATTATGGCACATGGCGAAAATAACAATTTTGAGTACAACATCAGGTCTTCTTATAACTCTTCGGTTATAACCGTTGCCAAACCCTTTGTCTCCATTATCACAGTGGAAAATCAAAAAATTCCAAAATTTCAATGCGAAATGTACAACGTGACCAGAAAAGTTTTGGAGATTAATCTTATTAACTGCGAGATAAGGGAATTAGAAACAGATTGTTTCCAACAAAGTGATATTATTTCAATGATGTTTGCGAAAAATAATATTTCGGTAATTAAATCAAGAACATTTGCAGATTTTTCAGTCGAAAATCTTTATTTACCATTTAATGGAATTAAAGCACTTGAAGATGACGCTTTTTGGAATTTGTTACAACTGAAGCGGTTGGAGTTAAATTTCAATCAATTGGAGGTCTTGAATCCTGAAAGTTTTTCGCTTGTGCCTCTTCTGGAGTATCTTATCATTGAAAATAACATGATTACGAGTTTGGGACCGGAAAATTTGCGTTTTATCCAACAGAATAGTGTTCTTCTATTTGACAATAACCGCATTTCTTATATTGATAAACGATTTTTGGACGGACTTAAAGTACACGAATTAAGAAGACTGTCGTTGAAAAATAACTTGATTGAATATTTAACAGACGGAATTTTTAATAATCACACTTTTTCGTCTATTATTTTACGTAACAATGAATTGAAAAATATCTCGACGAGAATTTGTTACAGGAACTGTAGTTTAGGAACGTTGGAGATTGATGAAGATTGTATTCAAAATTTTCAGGGAAATTTTTCTAAATGGCTAATTGCTAATAATGTCAGTTTTTACGAGTTTAGAAAAACTTTGAAATCTGGGGGTGTTTTTTGGAATTTTGGAGTCACAGGATTCGCATTTTGTGTTTTGAGCACACTTAAAAATCAATTTTTGAAATATCTGTTTTATTAGATTAATTAGTGATTAAAAAATGTTTGTCACCGTGTGAAGAATTCAATAATTTTTTTATTAGTGCCACACTGCTTCTTTGAAAAAAAAAAACAATATTGTGTATTTTTGGCCAGAGATTTTAAATGTAAAATTGTGAAAAAACTGAATTCTTATTGGTTTCTGTTTATTTATTTTTATCATGTCTATCTTTATGTTTTTTTTGTCACAAACTAGTGACTTAAATTCGACGGAGCAATTCTCTGAAACAAGTTCATTATAGGAATAAATTACCAACCATTTGTTTAGAATTCAAGGTTTATCATTTATTAATTGTGAAGTCTTCTAATAAATTAATAATTGAATAATTACTTTAATTTGTTGATGGATGAATGAACCTATCATATGGCATTGTAACCTTGTACTTGACATTAGAAAAAATATACCAGGTGAATAAAAATGGAACCAAACGTTTTTCGCTTAAACTATTTATTTTTTGGAAAAACTAATTGATGAATGATAAAGTGCTATAAAAATGTGATGATTTATCAAGAATAAAATTTTTCGAAATTTTCTTTTGTTTTTGAGTTCTACAAAAAAAATTTTTTTTCAAATGGCAACCCACTATAAAATCATTTTTTTCATGAAAGTTATGATCTAAGGATTACAACTATCTACTTTATAGTTAATTTTTTCAAAATTTTTTTAACATAAATTGAAATTTTGACAAAAAATCGCATAATTCAAAAACAAAATAAAATGTCGTACCCAAAATACTATCACATTTTTTATATTACTTTAATTTATATAAATTATTATTTTTTGAAGGCAAATGATTAAAAAAAACCGCTTGGTTCCATACTTTATATTCACCCTGTATGTGAACATCAATAATCGATTAAAATTTTGAGGCGTGTTCAAACAATATATTGGGTGTCCGAAAAAACGTTGAAAGATTTTAAGAAGAAGTTTTTATGGACTTATATTCATTTAAGAAAAAATTTAATTTTAAATTGCCCGCCTTGGTGTGACGTTAAAAAAATAGTTTTAACGAAAAACTATTTGCAGTTTTGTGTTTTTTGCACGAATTTGTTATAAATGCGATTTTTTTCTCTATTTTTAAACACATTTAGACGTAAACACAAATAGACGTTAAAATTTCAATTGTTTTTTTTTTATTAATGTATCAAAAAAGTATGATTTTTTGGTGATTTGAGACGTTTTCGTTACACTTTTTATTTGTTTCAAAATTGTGTAATTTAGAGAATTTTGAAACATAAAATTACAAAGTGATTTCAATGAGTGATTAATAATTGAAAAATTGCCTTTTATTAAATTAACTTAATAAAGACGTAAACAATTTAATCGGTTGTTTAAATATTCATGAGAAAAAACGCGTTGACGTGAGGAGTAATTTTATTATAATATACGTAATTAATGTTTTGTTAAATTTGAGTAATAAAAAGTAGGAAATTAACCCACCTGTAAACTTTTCCAGGAGAAATAAAAGTGACTTAATTTATTTATTATTATAATAAAATTAAAAAATGTTGTTTACCGACCAACGTGATGTATATGAAGAATATTAAATGGTTGACAACATGTAATTATGAGCAATTGAACTGTGTCAGTCATTAAATAAAAGTAAATAAATTGTTTATTGTGACACTTTTAAAATTTACTTATAAATAAAGGAGAAAATTCAAAGTATCTTCATTTTGCGTTATTTATAAATATGAAGTGTGTTTTCTTCGGTTTATATTTTCTGTTTTGTGCATCTTTTTGTAGTTGCACTAAATTGCGTACGTATTTTTTTCTAATTATTTTACCAATTAAAAAATTATAAAGCTTCAAGTTTTCTAAAATGCGACAAAAATCAAACCAATTTCCAAAAATGCCTAATAAAAGCCGTTACCAATGCCTTGGCTCAGTTGAACAAACCATTCAAAGAAGTTGGGTTACCAAACATGGAACCATTGGAGGTTCCATCCTTGACCATTGGGGCCGGATCTGGGGCCGTCAGTTTCCAACAAAATTACAAAAATCTCAAAATGTCCGGTTTCACCCAAACAACATGCCCGAAATTTGAGTAAGTAAATACACCCAGTGGACCAGAAAATAACAAGTTTAGTGTGATTTTTCCCGAGAGTAAAATTTCGATGAGTTGTGCCTCTCCGGCGATTACCATGGATTTCGATTATGACATAAATGGTAGAATTTTACTCTTGCCGATTTTTGGAGACGGTCCTGGATCCATAATTTTGGGTAATTTTATTTGTTTTGTGAAACTTCTAACTAATCATTTGAAGATCACATTGGAGTGGATATTATCTTCCATTTTGAAGAATACGAAAAGAAGAACAAAAAATACTACAAAATCAAAAGTACAGAACTTTCAATGACCCCAAATTTGATCAAATTTGATTTGAAAAATCTGTTTCATGGAGATAAAGCTTTGGGTGACAATATTCTCAAAGTTATGAACGAAAATTGGGAAGAAGTTTTCCGGGATGTTAAATCGGGATATGAAAAGGCCTTCGCCCAGATTTTTACCTCGATTTTTAATAGATTGCTCGAAAGAATTTCAGTCAATGAACTTTTTGGTGGTGAATAATTTTGAGTTTTAAATAAAGATTTTTTTGAAGAATTGATTTTTTAATTTTGTTAACTGGTAAAAAAATAACACTAAAATGCATCAGAATTAAATTTCAATCAAAAATATTTTTTATCAGGACTTTGGACACGATGTTTGGACTCTTTAATTACTGTTACAAGTTGATATTTTAACAGCTTTGGTCAAATCTTACAATTAATTATAAATTAAGACATGTTTATTGTTTTTTACTTGATTAATTAAAAAAAAAATCGAAGAAATTTAAATGATGAAGCTGGAATTTCGGGAACAGGTTTTCTAACAAAACCTCCTCCCCACCAACTATAAAATTAACGATAATTTACGTTACATAAAATTACTCAAAGTTTATATAAATTCAATGACGCGAAATAGTTTCAATCAAAATCTCGCCACAATGAAGCTCAAACTTATTTGTTTCGTAATTATTTTCGAATTTTGCTCAAGTGCTAAAATACGTAATTTGTTTAAACTAGTGTTTTTCATAATTTTAATCATAACTTGCAGCTTCGAATTTTATAAAATGTGATCGCAAAAAGCCGGATTTTAAAAAATGTGCTCCCGGAGCGGTCGAACAAGCGATGAGACAAATGGATAAACCGACCAAGGAATTGGGAATTCCTAGTTTATCCCCCTTGGTGATTCCCTCCCTTTCGATTGCAGGGGGCGAAGGCTCGGTCAAATTGGACCAGAATTACAAAAACGTGCATATTTATGGACTCACGAATCTTTCATGCTCGAAACTCAAGTAAGTTTCATTTTTTATTTATTAAATAGTTTGTCAAGAAAGATTTAAGTGTCGACTTTGAGAATAAAATTATCGAAAATGAGTGTCTCTACCCCGAAATCCGCATGGTTAGTGACTATAACCTCAATGGCAAGATTCTAGTTCTTGATATAATGGGCGAAGGGAAAGGCACAATTACGTTGGGTAATTTTTTAACACCAAAAACAAACACAATTCTGTTTTTTTTATTTTATAGAAAAGGTCCGAATTCCGGTGAAATATGACCTCGAAGAGTACGAAAAGAATGGCAAAAAGCACTTTAGAGTGACCAACATTGATCTAAAGATGATTCCAGAAAGAGTTAGATTTGATTTTGAAAATTTGTTTAATGGTGATAAGAAACTCAGTGAGCATGTTCTAAACGTAATTAATGAGAATTGGAGGGAAGTGTATGATGATGCAAAAGCAAGCTACGAGGATGCTTTTGGCCAAATTACTAAAGATATTTTCAATAAAGTGTTGTCGAAAGTGTCAATTTCGGATATGTTCGGCGATGAATAATTGTTAGTTATTTAATTATTTGAAATGTTACACATTTTTTTATTTTTATAGTAAACATGTTTGTTACGATTTAATAATAAAACAAGTTTATTCCAGGAAAATGTTTCATGATTTGTTTTTAATTCAGAATGGAGGAAATTTTCCTAAAAATTTTTTTTATGTTTGTCTAGACTTTAAACCTTTGATTTACTAGTGTAAATGTGAAAATTACTTTAAGTGAAAATTCATTGAATTATGCTGTATATATTTAGGAATTTTTAATTTACATCTTGCATAGTATTTGAAATTTTTTTCAATAAAATATATATTGTTCAAAACGCAGTTTTACTTAACCATAAGAATCAGAAATCTTTTTTTTTAGCAATTTTTTTTGTAGTACCTAATAACCTAAAGTGTTAAAAAAAGATTGTCAGTGTAAAAAAGTGCTTTATTTTTTTTAATTTGGTTCCAAAGAATATCGTTTGTGATATATTTTAATCTAATTTATTTATTATTAATTTTTTTGGTTCTCATAAATAAATTTACATTTTCTGCATACATTATTTGTATTATTACCTTATTTGAAATGATCTCATCTTG